GACAATGAGGTCTCTTTTGCAAAATAGACATCGCGCACTGGGCCTCCCCTCTTGGGCGGGCCTGCTCGCCAGTTGGACCGCGCGTCCGCTCGGACTAGGCCGAGTTGGGCCATATTTGGCCCACAAGCTCCGTTTCTTTTTATCTAGTGTCGGTGCAGAAAGTGACCAACACGTAAATATTTATAGTTTTGTTGTACATTGTGATCGGAGGTGGCCTAGCACTCAATGACACATGGTTTATACTGGTTCAGGCAACGTGCCCTACGTCCAGTTTAAGTCGGTCGGTGACTTTATTCCTGAGCCCAGGTGCTCGAAGTTTGCTATGGGTTTGCAAACAGAAGGGAGAAAGATGGGGGGTACAAGAGGTCCGGTCGGACTCTGGTCTGAAGGGCCGAGAGTGATGGGAGCTCCGCTATGTGCTAAGTGTTCGAGCGTGTGCTCGGTATAACTTTAGAGTGTCTAAAGTTACAGAGGGTGTATCAATGTAAGTGAACAGATCGATCTATCTATTTTGGGAGAGAGCGCATCCCCTTTTATAGATGAAGGGGATAGCCTTACAAGTGAGAGGGAGAGAGTGTACGTATGCTAAGTCTTGTTGCCCACACTATTGGGTACAGGATGATTGTAGGCGCCCATAACACTGTTAATGTCAGATGCATATGGGAGGTTGCGTCGTCTTCTTCAGGTATGGCAGACGTCGGTGCCTGCCACACTGTTGATACCCAGAGGCATGCAAGGGGTTTTACCATGTTCACCTGGTATGGTAAATGCCAGCGCCCACAACACTGTTGATGCATCAGAGGCACGTGGGGGGAGCCTTACCGTGTTTGTCTGGTATGGGAGTTGATGGCGCCCACAATAGTATAGGGGAAATGTCGGCGCCTACAACATGCTTGGGTTCTATCATGCCAAGAAGGTCGCAGGGTACTGTCTAGCAGGTGTACATGGTAAGGTCCTTGGTATTACGGTTGACTTGAGTGCCCTGCCTTACTTTCTCCATCCATTTCTTGGTCCTTACGAAGCGGGCGTCCCCGGTCGGTTGGTTTCAGTCGGCTCTGATTGCGCCAGTCAAAGAGGAGCTATAAGCAGGGGTTCGGCGCATCCCCGATCGGAAATGCGGGTCGGAGTCAGAAAGTGGTGTTTGGCCAGGCCTTCCGGTCGGAGAGACCATCCGGAGGTGGGCCACCGTCGGAAGCGAGCGCTGTTCCTTGTGAGGCCTTCCGGTTGGAGAGGCGGGCCAGAGTCAAAAGCGGGCGCTGTTCCTCCTCGGCCAGGCCTTCCGGTCTGAGATTGAATTGTCCTTCTGGCCTGTCGTTTAGGTGTTTGGGCCGGCCCATGAGCTGTGCGTTGTTCGCAACGTTGTCTGCTGGGCTGAGCCTTTGTTGGGAAGCCGGTCCATGAGGGATCCCGGGTTTATAAACCCGACACTTAGATTTAATATTTTCTATTAAATGACAAATCCAATTTTTTTGAACTCTACACAAATTGTACAACATAGTGAACACATAAAATCACATGCTTTAGTGCAAAATAATTTGCCTTAAAAATTAATCTATTGTTGTTGTAATTAATTAAATTAGTTTCCTTGCTCCAAATGCTATGAAATTTTTATGGTAGGTTCATCATATGGTTAGGTGTTCACTGTAATTTTTGTAGCTACAGAGTAATTAAATTGCTAAGATAACAAATGAGCCCTAGTTTGAATATATAATAAATCAAATAAATGAAATAGAGAAACACCTTGGAATTGTATAACTAAAACACTTGTTGGGAAATGACACCTTTCTCGATGATGTTGATACATAGATTAGTACGTTAGTCATTAGAGCTAGCTTGTTAGTTCGTAGTATGTACTCGGTTTTAAGAGTTGTTGTCTAGTTAATTAACTGTTGCATTATCTCGACATCGCATTGCATACCATAATAGGGACAATGATGGATCGTGGAGTCAGCTAGAGTATCGAAAAAGATGGTGTCTCGATGATCGTGTCACCAAGATGGAATGCTAACTTTTGGTTATATTTTACTCAGGCAAGCCCCGGTGCATAACCCCTACTTTTCTACACTTTAAATTATATTTGTGCTTTAAGTTTTAAGGAGTTGAATGAAACCCACTTGCATATATATATCTTTATCCTATGAGTCTTACTAGTATGACAGGATCGTGTAGATTGCTATGCTATAGGACTCCGATAGAAGTCGAGTGATTGCCTGTCCCTCGCGAGAGATAGGAAATGTAGACTAGGCAGGGATATTGTTTGGGTATTGGTGGGTGTAAGAGATTGTGTCCTGCGGCCAATGAGGCATAGATTGGTTATACTTTTTCCCTGTCTATGTCGGTTAAGGACCGGTCGTTGCATTAGGTCTAGGCAGGTCACAGACTTATTATCCCAAGCACATACTTGGCTATGGGCGCAGGGAAGACTTGTTACTCTCTTGTCATGGGTTTCAGCTCTTTCCAGACCGACTTTCAGGGTGGTTTTTGGGTGGAGGTCCTTGCACCGCACTGAGTCCAGGACTCAGGAGCGGGGGCTTGGAGTCCAAGTTTGGACGGGGATCTGGACCCCGTGACAGGAGGGTAGTGGGTTGGTCCTGCTTGTGCCTGGGGTACAAGCGGGGCGTGTGTTTCGGGGTACTCAGCTGGGCACATTGATTCGTGAATCGCTGGGCGATCTAGTACGACTTGTATACATTCTAGCAACGTAGTAAGAACTGGAAGATGAAAGATGGTAAAAATAATTCTGATTGCCTACCACCTGCTTGAAAGTAGCATAGGTGCTTACATAGAATGGCTAGTTAATGAACTAATGATGACTGCTAATAAAACTGAATATAAGGATGCATGCTTAGTAATGCTTCCTGTAGATGCAATAAACCCACAAGCTAGATAACCTTGCATATCCTTGGAGTCTTTTCTTTCCTCTTATCGGGTAAGTCTTGCTGAGTACAATTGAGTACTTAGGGTTTTATTTCCCCCTATTGCAGGTGATAGGTGGACGCTAGAGCTGACCCTTATGTGTGGATTCCTCCTGGTGGGCTCAGAGAGGATTCCTTTACGCTACGATCATAGTCTTTATTTATAACTCTCACTAAATGTTTTTATAAATAGAAGTTTTATATCCTGTTGTCATAATTTATATAACAATGCTTCACAATGTCATGAATAGATATTTATTTCCGTTGTAACTCTGATCACATGTTTATATTCTGCTGTTAAATTAAATTGTTCATAACTCTGATAACATGTTCAGATTCTACAGTTATAAACAATAAATATTATACTCTAATGTTGTATTAAAGGTGATGTAAGAAATGGTTAATAATAATGTAAGCTTTATTCTCTCATTTGTGATCCTGATGGAAAAATGTGGATTTTTTGGTTCTCCCTCGGGGTGTGCCCGACGGAACTGCGTAATTTAGTGTTTTCCCTTGAGTACTTAGTGTCTAATAGAAGACAAGTACTCTTATGAGGCATTAGATTAGACGGTTCTACCACATCCAAGTCCATATTATATGCAATATGAGCTGATGATCAAGAACTTGTGAGAAACTTGGTATCATTAGCAGCCGTCTCTACATTACATTCTCCTCTCTTCTCTGTTTTGATGCCTTGATGCTCCAAGTTCATGATTAAATGGTGATTGACATATTTCTGAGGCCTCTACTACTGCTACTATTCATTTTTTTTATATATTGTTGTTTTATAGGACTACTTTGGTTTATAGACTTAGAAAATTGGAAGAAAACTTAGATGCATTTTGAGTGGTTAATGATTAGGATAAAAAATCACTAACAATATTTTTAGAAAAACAATAAAACTATAGTATCATTTATCAAGAGCCTGATATGTAAAGTTCTCACTAACAGAAGCAGTCGACCAATGGTAAAACATAAGGTATATATACTACTTACTTAATAAATGATAACTAGGACAAATTAGACAAAGAGCAATTAGAGATAATAAATCAAAACTTAGTCTTCAAGAAAATTGAGTATCTGATGTTCTGCATTGCTCTTTAAAGCTCACACACTAACAAAACTTGGAACTATCTGCACTAAAAATGCCTGAAGAACAGAACTAAAAAAGTTCTAGGTCTCCTTAAAGGCTTAAAGACAACTCCACAACAAATACAGTAGCACAGATGCCAAAACTCTAAGCCAGTAAGCCTTTTCCAATATAGTAGAATGACTGAGAGGATGAAACATAACAATTGATCATGAAAACACCCAAAGCTGTAAATGATTTATTGATTAGGAAAGCTAAAAGGATACTGAAGCAAAACTTCTTGCATAATGCACTTGTCGATAACTATATGAAGGGGCATATCAAACAGTGAACTAAAGTCCATAGCTGGTTTTTTCTTCTTATCGATATTGACTCAAAATCAAAGCTGGCAAGTGATTGGTTCTTGCTTTTTTGTTGCACGTCACTCTTCATACGGTAACAAGCTGCATTCTTTAGTATGGGGTTCAAACTAAGATTGTAAGGAATACTGATATTCCATGGCTGATTTATATTACCAAACTTCCCATTGTTTTTACTGTTTGACAGTTTAGTAGGCCCTGATTCAGAATGTAATGGATAAACTGCATTACCATGTGATACTTTCTCTACTGACCTTTTATGATCAATATATAAGAACTCCCCAACTGAATCAATGTTTTCAGATGAGGAACTAGTTCTCTTCATAAACCTGTGAAACGGGGAAAACTAACTATACTGATAATCCAGTTCTAAACCATCAGGCAATGCAATATGCTTAGTATTCTGTGAGTGCACAGGAACATGTTGGCAACTCAAGCTTTCATCTTTCTCACACTCATCAATACTGTCCCAACTAGTGCAGAGGTGATGAATTGTAATACTAAAAAATATTTTTGATAGATTCTTTGCATTTTTTATCAAATTATCTCAAGTGGCTGCTAGATGGTTCTTAGTTTCCTCTGGTTCAGACTATTCTGATTTTTGGAATTTTGTTGTATATCTCTAGGCTTCTTTGGTCATTCAACTTCTGTTGCCATCCTTCCTGCCATGAATCATGATTACATCAAATTACTTTAGATGCTTATATGATTCCTAAGTGGTTAATTCTTTTCATCTTTGCCTGCAATAAAAGTAAGCTCATTATCAAGAAGATAAGTATTTTCACTCCTGTATCTCACCTTAGACTACTATATCTTGTTTAAGTATAAGTACCTTCGATAGTAACTCCAGACCTCACTAAATGGGGAATAGAACCTTGAGAATTATTCAAGGTTGGAACTTGTGGGTTTTGGTTCCAACCAAAACTAGGATTAAATAAATTTGCTCCACCCAATATACTTTTTTGCAACTCGATGGGGGCACCACTAGAAGCCAGTCCTTCAGGAAAATTTGGAATTTGAGCCATTGAGAATGGATTTGATGGTTTTGTCTTGTCCACTGTCCTCCCAAAAGGACCTTCTGGGTGAGTCCTGGGAAAAGGCGCACCACCATGTATCAGTGGCACCTGAGCAGTACCATCTTGTAGTATATGTGGTTGCTCATACTCAATTCCCATGGAAGGTTGACCTTGTCTACTAGCCTTACCAACCTGTTTCCCCTTTCTGGTATTCTGTCCAGTGGATATAGCATCTGACTTTAAGTTGTCTTCAGAATGCAAATCCCCATCTATTAAGTGAAATGATTCCTTGCCTCTCTTGGTAGCTATTAAGTGACATTTTTCTAGTCCCTGGCATTTTGCATCTGAATTCTAGTCCTGCTGCTTGCCATCCTTATTTCTAGGACAAGGCTGCTCTTTTCTAATCCTGCTGCTTGCCTCTCTTGGTAGCTATTAAGCTGAGCCAACGACTGGGGGAATTGAAATGGGCCCAACGTACTAATATTGTCAACAAATTGTGGGCGGGGGCTTCCCCTGTTGTACTATTTTTGAAAAAAAAAATCCTATTTTTGTAGAAGTGTTGATCTGCCATGAAATTTTACACATGCAAGGATTACATGTTGCAATGGATGTCATGAATACAAAAATAGCGGCAGCGCTGCGCAACAGGACCAAAATTGTTATGATGATCGAATGGCCCCCTACTTATAAGCAACTGTTGTTTTTTGACACCTTTCCTATCCTCTATGTTTGGGAAGCAGCAACTGCCTTTTTTTATACCTTTTCCTCTCTATGTTTGTTAAGCAGCTGTTGCTTTTTTTGCCAAATCTCCCCTCTCCTCTCCTCTCCTTTGTTTTGTCGATGATAAAATTGTCTAAGTCCATACATTATATGGAATATGAGCTGATGATCAAGAACTTGTGAGGAACTTGGCATCATTACCAGCCACCCCTACATTACCCTCTCCTCTATTCTGTGTTATGATGCCTTGATGCTCCAAGTTCATGATCAAATGATAAGTGACATGTTTCTGAGGCCTCTACTACTACTACTACTTGTTTTTTTATATATTGTTGTTTTATAGGACTACTTTGGTTTATAAACCTTTTTGATTTCTTATACCTTCTCGCGTACCTAAAGCACACTTTCATGCATCTATTAGAACAAAGCGCGAAATAATGTCGTGGACACCAGACAGTGCAGCCCGATGCCCTGAGCATAATGAGCAGCCAACCTATGAGGAGCAAGCACTAGAGGACCAGCTTACTCAGGAGCAGTTCGATAACATGTTAGAAAAGGATCTAGAAGTGATGCTTACTCAGGAGCAGTGTGACGAGGAGGAAGGGGAGCAGAAGGAAGAGCAGGAGAGGCTGCTGAAGGCGAAGAAGAAGAGGATGATGAGGAGGAGGACTCAGAAGAGGGATATATAAGTCCCGAGGATCATTTCCCACGTGAAGCCAGAAGGAGGCCAACGGAGGAAGATTTGAACAAGGATTTTGACTCGAACGAGGAGATAGGGACAAAGCCTTAGCTTGTAAATTTTGGTAAAGCTTTGGCTGTGTTACCTCTGCTAACACTTTAACATGTCATATATAGAGGTCCCTCCTAAAACTCAGAAAAGACGACATCGATGTCCGCGACATCTCGCCAGACAAGATAGAGTAGAGGAAAGGAGAGTAGAGGCAACAGCCACAGAGGCGGACATTGAGGTCTCTGCTCCACAACCTCAAGACACAACCATGAACACGACTACCAAGCCAAAGAGGAAACGAGGGGATAGAAAAATAAACCAATATCCAGATAAGACATGCTATGTGATAATGGAGGTCGGGCCAGCAGGGGAGATCCTTGAGCCGGAGGAATTCAAAGGATGATTCCGTAATGCGATCGGGGCCCTGGTAAGAGAAGAAAAAGGATGAACTATAGGATAAGTAGCTGAAGCTCAATTTTAGATTTCCGGAGGGTAAGCAAGAATTGGTAAAAAATGCTTTCAAGATCATGGGAGAGTCATTCCTACGATGGAGGTCGGAGCTCAACAAGAAGTATATCCTAAAGGGGTTAACTCCCTTCAACGAGTTCAGCAACATAACTCCTAGTCAATGGGAGGAGCTCGTGGCTCAGAAGACTTCACCGGAGGCATTGGAGCTCAGTGCCCGTAACACCGAGCTGGCGAAGAGGAACAAACACCACCATCATCTAGGCCTCGGTGGCTACTATGCCAAGAAAAAGCAGTTTAGGAAGATGGACGAAGAGGCCGCAGCTTCTGGGAATATCAATGTGAAGAATTTGAAGGTACACTCAAGAAATTGAATAGATGCGAGGAGTACAGAATCATCCGATGGTAATCTTAAATTTGATAAGCCAGAGACCCAAGAGGCAGTATTAGGGATACTGAAATATGCTGAAGACAAGGAAAAGGGCTCATTCAATCCTTCCAGAGAGAGAGACGAGCTTAGCCTCGGCTTGGGAAACAACGAGCACACAAGCCGCACCAGGGGGCTAGGGAAAAGGACGACCTAGAAGCACGGATTTGAAGAGGACAGGCACATGTACAAGAAACATGGCAGAGACCGGGAGACTAATCTTGAGCTTCAAGTGAAGGCTCTAGTTGCGAAGGCGCTGGAGGAGCAAGGACTGACTACGGAGCCACGGACATTAATGACGCCGCTAGGAGAACTGGCATTAGTTGGCAGCCCTCCGAAAGTTCCTAGCAGCCAAGGTTCCACTGCAGCCACAACCCCCGTCGATCGCAGACGGGAACCAACTAGTTGCACCTTGATGTTTCTCAGCGACCGACAGAACATTGTGATGGAGGTGGCAACGGTGTGGCACATCCTCTCGGTGGCTTACACCACAATAATAAGATACCGCCGGACTATACTAGGGTCGAGGTGCATACCGTAAAGCCCGAGTTCATGCAGTGGAGGATAGACTATGCAACTCTCGAGGGGCTAGTGTTACTCGAAGACGTAATGGGGCAGTTCATCCTCTGGCACAAACATGATATTATATTGACTGTTTCTTCGCCACCTCCCCCTCTCAAATTTGGAGCGAGTTGTTGAGGACGGGGAGATATTTTCACCGTCTCGTGACCATCACATTCATGAATGGGAACTTCGAAAGAAGCATCCAATCACCATAAGACCAATTTATATTCCGATGAAAGACGTCTCGTTGGTGCACAAGTGGTATGCCCATGACCAGTTCAAGCATGAGAACCAAGTTAAAAAAGTCCCATCACGGGCTTTTGAGGAGGCCGTCACTAGCAAACTCCACCAAATGGCAAAGTAGTATCCAAATGTTGATGCCATCAGATGGTCATAGGATTGCCCAAAAACATATGAAAGAGGCAAGCCCTTCCTACCAAACCGGGACATCTAGCGCCTACCACTTGGAATGAGAAGGTTCCATGATTAGTACTTGCGTATTCTTCTAACGAGTATAGACCTTGTACAAGCATGCTTCCCCACCGGCACATTTGGAAGCCTAGCTAGGAAAATTATATTTGACTTCAATAACATGCATACATGCTTTCACCTCGGAGCAATGAAAATGAATCTAATTTGCACATGGTGCCTGTAAGTATTTGTCCTCCCGATATGATATGAATGTAATCTTTGTATTTTGTTGTAACTAACCCACGTCGTGATTTATAGAATGTAAGTGCACATTGTAAAACAAATGCCAAGTGTGAAAGCCGAGTATATAGACCCTCAAGCTATAGCACAAATAAATTTTAATTACCCTAGACAGTAAAAACTGGATGACAAAGAGCTAGCTGCTGAAAAGACCATTCGGGAGAAAGAGGACATTCATGCGAAGAAACTAAGGCAAGAGTCCATTAAGGTTTCGGCATACATTGCCCTGACTTTTAAAAATCTCCAACAACACTCTACTATATGACTATCATACAACTTCGAGTAAGTTCAACTCTATACTTAAAGTTTTGTTCGATATATTTTATTCGATGTAAAAGAGCTTATCTAGTTCTATGATTAAATCCATGCAGCAACCACTGGATTTGAATAGGTGTCGATGTCGGGAGGAGCATGGCATGGGTCTTTGATTCAATAGATAGGGACCCGATGACATACAAAGACTTCATATCGATTCTCAAGACATATACATATCGACAATCCTCGTTAGCTTATATGTTTGTATACATACTTATAACGTTCACTTTTGAATACTAACAAGTTGTATTTGCTAAAATAATTCTGAACAGGGCATTTAGGTTATATGTCAATAAACATCACGGAAGGCATGATCCAGTAAGGAAGAAAAGGCTGGCTATAAAAACGCTATGTGCGGTAAGTGTAACTTACTTTAGTACTCCATTACATGGCTGTCAAAAGCATTATTTAACATTTCCATATGCAAAACACACAGTGCCACAAGCAGAAATCTGGGAGTGTACATTGTGGATACTATGTATGTTCTATGATGAGTAACACTGGGGTATAGAGGAGACACCCCTTAAGGGTAAGTTTGAACCTCTTCACCCGTAGTATAAAAACTTCGCACATGTTATGAAATACTAAACCAAAATTTGTTCTCTTGTAGTGGAAAGAAGAGAAAGAAATGAAAAGAAATCCATACAAGGATGACCAACTCTTAGAGCTCGTCGGCGACCTTTGCAACTTTATATTGGACCATATTGTATACGTTAAAGGCACCTACCATGACCGAGATTCTGACTTAGATAGAAATCCTCAGTACCAACACATTCGTGAGACTAAAATGCTAGGTCTAGGCTGTTGATAACAATGTGTATGGATTTGACATTGGTCTTTCCTTATGAGACGGTTTGGACTTGTGGAACGAATTAGACTTGTGAATTATATCTATTTAATAGTGGATTGTATATATTCTTGTGAATTTGACTTGTAATGGTAGTTTATATAATGCTCTTGTGCTTGTGGTCAGATTTGAATTATATATGTTCTGATCAGATTTGTATTATATTATATATATATATATATATATATATAATATGTTCTGATCGAATTTGAATTATAAATTTAATTTTTTGATGAAAAATATGCTGTAGGGACGGATGGTAGTATAGCCGCGAACTTCTGGTCCAAATGTGGCAGACTGGCAGCTTGGTTCGCCGTACGCATGGCCGAACGTACTTGCGTGCTTTGGGACAAAAGAGCATGTGTGTAGAGAGAGTGGTT